AGTAGTTGGCACAAATGTGTGCAGGGCATCTCTCTTCAATTTTTTTTCGCTTTTTTTGTAGAACGTGTGATATGCAAGAATGCAACAATTGTTGCATTCTTGGTTTTTGTTGTTGTTGCAGTTTTATCACAAAGTTCAGGGTATGCTTTTTGCATTTGTAATCGTGTGAGAATGTGTGCCTCTGTGTGTGTATGTGATCTAGAATACAAGACCATCTTCAAAGTTTTATATTAGACCCCGGTAGTAGTGGTATGTAGGGATGGTGCCATTTGATGTTTGCCAATATTGGCAGTCAGCAAGTGGCGTTGCTGCTGCTGTTGATGATGATGGCTTTGTGTGGTGTGCTGGTGGTGTCTTAACAAACGCGTTTTCTGGCTCATTTGCTACAGCGCCTACATTTTACTATACCTTGCACTCTTTAAATTTCATGTAATTAGTAACTGCAGCGAACCTCCAAACCGAACTGAACTGAAAGACAAGCAACAACATCGCCCAACATAGTTGGCTAATAGTTGTTATAAATGTATGTGGAGTATGTACAACATGGCCCATGTATAGAATGCCAACTATCTCGATTGTTGGTTAGGTTGGGTTGGTTGCTACACTTTTTTGTTTCAATAAAATTCACAACTTGGCCATTATGTGGGTTTTCACAGAGGGATCCGTGGAGGAACAAAAAGAAAGAAAAAGAAAAAAATGGAAAATTAGATGATTACGACGACAATGATGGCGGTTGGTTTGAATACCAAACAAAGTTTTCTTTCTTATCATCTGTAATGTTTGAACAAAAAGGAAACTACAGCACAACAAATAATCAATAGCAGGGTACCACACGATCCACCAGCAGCAGCACCAACACCACCATCTCTATTAGCCAACAAAAGAAATTAGAATACCAAAGAGCTTCCTTATTGCTGGTGGTACGATTTGAAAATCTGTTTCACTTTTTTGTCGTCTGGCTATTTTGTTGCTTAAAAATACCACAATGCCGGACCGAGAGTGGACGACAATTAGCAAAAATGTTTTGGCATTGGAACTGATTAAAATTGTTACAAATATCATTAGGAAAAAATGTAACAAAATCAATGCCGCAATTTTTTTCCAGCTAATTAAAGTAAATCGGCTATTGTGGAATTCAGAGACTTGGTTTATGGTATTTATGAAATTTTTTAATTGGTAAGTGAAGGTAATTGAAATGCCACTTATTCTGAGATCGGAAAGTAATTTGAAAGGAAACATTTCAGAACAACAAAATTGCATAGGTTGTCAAACCAAAAAAGTTTTTTTTTTATTTTTTATAAAAAATGAGACCTGGGGTCTTTCCAGTTGTTTCTATAGAAAAAAATTTAACCTAAGGTCAAGAGATTTTTTCTATAGAAAAAATTTAACATAGTGTCAAGAGAATTTTTTATAGATTTTTTTGTAGATGGGAGTCTCAGATTTTTTTCTATAGAAAAAAGAGACTGGGAGTCTCAGATTTTTTTCTATAGAAAAAAAAAGAGACTGGGGTCTCAGATTTTGTTCTATAGAAAAAAAGAGACTGGGAGTCTCAGATTTTGTTCTATAGATAAAAAGAGACTAGTAGTCTCAGATTTGTTTCTATAGAAAAAAGAGACTGGTAGTCTCAGAAAAAAGAGACTGGGAGTCTCAGATTTTTTCTATAGAAAAAAGAGACTGGAAGTCACAGATTTTTTTCTATAGAAAAAAAGAGACCTGGTTTCTTGAGATTTTTTCTATAGAAAAAATTCAGACCTTGTGTCTTGAGAATTTGTTCTATAGAAAAAAATGAGTCCTGGGGTCTACAGAATTTTTTTCAATATAAAAAAATGAGTCCTGGGGTCTACAGAATTTTTTTCAATAGAAAAAAATGAGACCAGAGGTCTTGCGAATTTTTTTCTATATAAAAAAATGAGACCTGAGGTCTTGCAAATTTTGTTTTGTCTTGTGAATTTTTTTCTATTTAGAAAACAAATGGGCCAAAGGTTCTGAAATGTTTTCTATAGAATATTATTCTGTTTGAAATATTTTTTCTATTGATAATCTTCTGTTCCGACCTGTTCCTCGTCCAATGACCTTAGGTGAATGACGACAATCCCTTCTATTTTTTTTTCTTACCTCACAAAAATATCTCAAAGCAAGCATCCCATCAACGAAGAATTTATTATTGGCATTTGATAGCTAATATCTTTTTATTCTTGATAGAGAAGTGGAAAAATATCATAAATCAATCAATTACAGTTCGATGCAAGAAAAGAGCACACAAGCCCATCAAAAAATATATATTGAGAGCGAATAGCCTATAATCTTTGAGTCATAGAAGCCATATTATAAGCAAGTTAAAAGCACGCAAACGCTAACTCACACAAAAAAGCCCCGCCGAAGGAGATGCGTTAAAACGTTCCTAACTGGTAACTGATGTCGATGCTGCTATGCGATTTTGTCGATTTATAATCTCATGTGAGTGTGCGCCGCAACACATGTATTTTATTGTGTTGAAGTATCCTCACTCACTACCCTACCTACCAACTACTACTGTCTTCGTCAAATCATTCAACGCCTTGGTGGCGACTTTGTCGGCAGCAAACATCAGCAGCAACTGGTTTCCAGTGGCCTTTCAGTGCCATCGCTGATCTTTTTCCAGGGATGTTGGATTTGGTTTTTTTCTTAAATACAATCACACTTGATGTTGATGTTTTTGTTATTGTCACGCAATAAATTGCCACACGTTCCTGATCACAGGCAGAGAACTTAACTCAATTCCAAGCCAAAAAAGACCTTTTTGATTTCTGTCAAACGGAATTCTAAGGATTTCTGGACTTGGACTTGACTTAGAAACTATTTAATGATTACTATAATTGCTTAAGGAATAGTGGTGGTGGTTGTGGTGATGTTGGCATGCACACATTACTACCTCTTGCTGGTGATTAGTGGCCAGAATCAAAACAAAAGATTTAAGACACATGCGTGATTTGGAAAAATCCAATAAAGAAACAGAGGCGACTTACACGCCATGAACTTTATTTTAGACGCCATTAAGGAGGGTGGGGTTGGAAAATACCCCACTAAAGAAATGGAAAAATAGGAAAAAGGAAGTACAAAAGGTCAATTTTTTTTTAAATTCTCAAGACCACATGTCTAATTTTTTTCTATAAAAAAAACTTTCTCAAGACCACAGGTCTCATTTTTTTGCTATAGAAACAAATTCTCAAGACCCTAGGTTTAATTTTTTTGGAAAAATTCTCAAGACCCCAGGTCTCATTTTTTTGCTATAGAAACAAATTCTCAAGACCACAGGTCTCATTTTTTTCTATAGAAAAAATTTTTCAAGACCACAGGTCTCATTTTTTTTCTATAGAAAAAAATTCTCAAGACCACAGGTCTTATTTTTTTCTATAGAAAAAAATTCTCAAGACCACAGGTCTTATTTTTTTCTATAGAAAAAAAATTCTCAAGACCACAGGTCTCATTTTTTTTCTATAGAAAAAAATTCTCAAGACTACAGGTCTCATTTTTTTCTATAGAAAAAACTCTCAAGACCACAGGTCTCATTTTTTTCTATAGAAAAAAACTCTCAAGGCCACAGGTCTCATTTTTTTCTATAGAAAAAAATTCTCAAGACCGCAGGTCTCATTTTTTTTCTATAGAAAAAAAAAAATTCTCAATACCTCAGGTCTCATTTTTTTCTATAGAAAAAAATTCTCAAGACCTCAGGTCTCAGTTTTTTCTATAGAAAAAAAAATTCTCAAGACCTCAGGTCTCATTTTTTCTATAGAAAAACAATTCTCAAGACCCCGGGTCTCATTTTTTCTATAGAAAAAAATTCTCAAGACAACAGGTCTCATTCTTTTCTATAAGAAAAAATTCTCAGGACAACAGGTCTTTTTTCTTTAGAAAAAAAATTCTCAAGACCACAAGCCGCAGTATTTTCTATAGAAAAAATTCTCGAGACCACAGGTCGCATTTTTTTCTATAGAAAAAAATACTCAAGGCCTCAATTCTTATATTTTTCTATAGAAGAAAATTCTCAAGTCGCCGCATCTTAGTTTTTCTTAAAAAAAATGCTGAAGACATCTATGTAGAAAAAAATTCTCAAGACTTCAGGCCCCATTTTTTCTATAGGAAGAACATCTTAGAACCACAGGTAACAGTGGATCATTTTGGGGCCATACTTAGCGATCTTTTTACTTATTTTCCTAAATTATTACACCATTATCCAAACCAAAAGCTTCTTGGCCATACCCTCTCTCAAACGTTTAAAACCCCAAAACAGAATATATCGGAACAAAAACCAAATTCATGGAAAAATTGATCATGTTATTTTGTGGATGTCTCAAAAAAATACAGTTTTGAAGGATCACTTTCCATCCGCAGGCCTTTTTCTCTTCTCTAAACTTTATTGGATGTCTTAATCACATGGGATGGTGTGGGGAATATGGGCGAAAAGTCAACCAGTATCTGAATACTGTCATCGCTTTGCCGCTGCCACAGAGTTATGTTAATTTCCTTTTTAGCTGCAGGATATTAAAATCATATTTCAAAAGCAGTCAAGATGATGATGACGACAACATCCTCCTCTTCAAACTACCTACCAACTAACGACATGGCTAACAGCTTACTAACGTTTCGCGTTTTATGAAGATGACACCAAATTTATGTTATATTTTCCGCAAAGCTGCTTCCTTGTGATGATGTTGACGATGATGCTATTTATAAGCAGCCATTATTTGCCAGCAGCCAGGAAGTTTTCTGTCTATAAAATACTTCAGGAAGGTGTCATGCTTTAAAAAGCCATCAACACGATTTTTCTTAGAATTTTCCTTGAAAACTTTTTCCTGCTTAAAACGATGAGGATTTTCTATTTTCTTTTCGGCGATCTGTGGCCGCCAAGCCGCCTTAACTTAACTACTTGCACTTTTTTCACTTTTTATTTAGAGTTATTTTTCCCTTTCTTATTCCTACTTTTTTTTTTTTTTTTTGTCATGGCTCATTCACTCACTTACCGGCATGTAAATTCAGCTTCACCCAAACATAATTCGAAACAATCACGTCTCGATGTCACTGACACCGAACGTTTGGCATGGCCATTCAGTTTATAGTTTTGTACACGATCGACACACCAGGCACGTGCACATGGTCGTACACCCAGACATGATTTTTGTGCATAAATGGTAAAGACGGGGAACTGGGATTTGGTTAGGGCACCTAGAATGAAAAACAGAAAAAATTTAAAATGAAAATAGAAAAAAATACATTTTGAGGCGTTGCAAATAGATGCATAACAAATGAAATGAAATTTAGAATCAATATTAGAGTGTTAACACACACACATTTGACAATGCAAAACGAAGAAATGAAAAGTTCTCTTTAAAGTGACAAACTAAACATTCTTGTCAACACAATCCGAAAAAAGTAAAACCAGTCACTACTTCAGGTGACACGAAGACAGCCTGTCAGTGTTGCAGTAAGTGAAATGTCAATAGTTGATTTGTCACACCTTTTCTTGTTTTCCATGGAAAGTTTATTCTATGCAAAAAAACAGGGAGTTATAAAATGTTCTTTGAGGTGTAGTGGCAATAAATAACAGCTGCAGCGAAAAGAAGAACTTAAGGAGTGGAAACAGTAGAGTCAACCACGATACCCTACCACACTAATTAATGTTCTCTATTTTAAACAATTATTTTTTGGTAACATAAAAAATACCAAAATCGTTCATAGAATACGAAAAGTTCTGAAACGGAGAACTATGAGACCCAATTTTGTCTGCCATTGCTAATATTTCTATATACTGAATTATCAACCGAAAATATTGCAAATATCAACCCGGAAATATAGTTCATTCTATCTGAAAAGTTGAAGTCCAAAACACCTTAAATATTTTTTAAATTCGTCTATATCATACAATCAGATTGCATTCTCATTTAAGTACACACTACAAATAATGTGGTATGAAATATAGGGTCAAGATTTTTTGCTAGTGAACAACATTGGGACTGTACACTTAAATATTTCACTGTACACTCATAATTTCACTATGTATATGCCTCGAGCATTTCATTTTTAAGAAAAAACTTTAAATGTGAGGGAATCCACAGATTGAAAGACAATCTTATACTCTTATAATTGTTAAAGTGATCAGGGCCTTGAAGTGACAGGAGATAGCGCCATCCAGAGGAAAATGTCAACACAAAATAACCAAGGATCCCAACCGCTGCACAAAATTCAAAGAGACCTTGTTTCTAGGCAACTATAGATGGGGGCCCCATCACCTAGCTCAGATTAGAGCAGACCAATGATATACTATAATGGCGAAGCTTTGTACGTGACACTATTCTTTATAAACATAGCTTAATTTTGAATTTGGATATCAATTTAAATCTATAACGCCACGAATATAAAAAATTGGAACACTAAATAAGCAAGGAGCCCAACCGTTGCAGGCAGGCGTTGTTTCTAGGCAACGATAGATGGCAGCACAATTACCTTGAGACTATAGCAGACCAATCATCTACTTAGGTACAATGCCGATGCCCTTTTCCCTATAAAAAACTGATTTTTTCAAAACCTGCACATCATAGTATTCTTTCCAAACTTTGATCGAACTCGAAAATTGATATTATTGCATTATTACTTCATAGATAACGCTATGAAGATAACAAATTGAAACACAAAATAAGTAAGGACTCCAACCGCTGCACCGAATTTAGGGAGATGTTGTTTCTATGCAACGGTAGATGACAGCACAATCACCTTCAGACTACAGCAGACAAATCATATACTATGTCGATGTCCTATTCCCTATAAAAACTGATTTTCTTCTTCCACATTACAATATTCCTTTCAAACTTAAATTAAGAATATTGAATCACTACTTCCTACATAGAGGAAAATTCACTCGAATATTTTTAAAAAGATGCTTAAATGTCCCTTTAGATTAAATACATCCGAAAGCCCCTGCTATTCTAATAACCAACCTCGACATCAACACATGAATATAAAAAACGGCGTCATCCAGAGGAAAATATTGGCAATAATATGAAAATCAAAAAAACCAACTAGGCATTGTGTCTAGGCAACGATAGATGACAGGTCTAGGGATACGTAGTCGAGCGTAAAAGTCGACTTTTAGACTTTTCGATTTTTGCCTCTGGCCAAAAGTCTTGTCTTTGACTAAACTGTAGACTTTTCGATCTTTCGATTTTGTTAAACCTGTTAAAATCGATTTTTGACTTTTACGACCGATGCAAAATCGACTACAAATTTTTTTTTTTATGAAAATTGTTCTCAACAGATAAAATAAAGGCTGGAAAGTGTAATTTTCGGTTATCCCACACCATATATTTATGAAGAAAATCGAAAGTCGATCACTACATTCTTGTATATTTTCATCGTTTTTCTAACCATTCATATTGTGTGTCGGTCTATTCCTTCTGATACGTTTTCCTCAAAAAGATTAACATTGTAAAGCATGTAAATTCCATAGCTAATATGATGAAATCCAAAGGTGGAGTCCGTATTTGAAGTCCAAATGTGTTGATTTGCAACACAAGAGCATATAATAAGAGTGTCACGAGATAGAGCCACCTAGGGTAAAATTGCAATCAATGGCCACAAACGATATAACGAGACGTTGTTTCTAGGCAACGATAGATGGCAGCCCCATTACCCACAACAGAACAATCGTCTACTTGGGTGGACTGTCTCAGCTGTAAAAAAAAAATCAGAGAGACATTGCTTCTAGACAACGATAGAGGGCACCCCTAATATTCCATCAATTACAGCAGAACAATTGTATACTTAGCTGGACTGTCGACGCTTTGTAGAAGCCATAATAGGGCGGTAATGGGGCTGCCTTATTATGGATTCTACAGGAGATAGCGCCATCTTGAGTAAAATTGCAATACCAATTAATCAATGGTCACAAACGATGTAACGAGACGTTGTTTCTAGGCAACGATAGAGGGCAGCCCCATTACCCACAACAGAACAATCGTCTACTTAGCTGGACTGTCTAAGCTGTAAAAAAACAGCGAGACATTGTTTCTAGACAACGATAGAGGGCAGCCCTAATATCCCATCAATTACAGCAGAATAATCGTCTACTTAGCTGGACTGTCTAAGCTGTAACAAAATCAGCGAGACATTGTTTCTAGACAACGATAGAGGGCAGCCCTAATATCCCATCAATTACAGCAGAACAATTGTCTACTTAGCTGGACTGTCGACGCTTTGTAGAATGTGACCTAAACGATGGGCATTATGATTTACAGTGAAAATTTCACTTTTGGTACATTCATAACATAGAGTCCATATTTAAATAGAATCATATATCTCATAAATGTGATCTGAAGAACAGGAAGTCTAAAGATACGAGCTGAATATCAGAGAGTTTTTATAGACCCGAAGGTCTGGACGTCTATCGACAAGTTGAATGCCAGGGAGTCTATAGACGAGTTGAAGGTCAGGGAGTCTGTAGACGAGCTGAAGAACATGGAGTTTATAGACGTGTTGACGGTCAGGGTGTTTATAGACTAGCTAAAGGTCATGGAGTCTATGATCGAGCTGTAGGTTAGGGAGTTTATAGATGAGCTGAAGATCACGTAGTCAATATACGAGCTGGGGGTTAGAGAGTCTTTATAGGCGAGCTGAAAGCCAGGAAGTCTATAGACGAGCAGAATGTAAGGGAGTCTTTATTGGCGATGCGAAGGTCAGGAAGTCTTTAAGTTTACTCTTTTTTAAGACCCTGACAACTATTTGATTTAGATAAAAACTCATGTATCCCCATTTTATTTTTAAAATGTAAAAAAAGTTTTATTTAGGTTTCTTCCCACTATTTATCCAGCATCGTTTGATAAAATTATGTATGTAGTCTTCTTCTGAATGAAAACATATATTTTTTCAAATTCCCCCGTGGAGTGTAAAATGAGATAATCGCCAAACATTATCTGCTTATTATCCAATAATAAATATGAGTTGGCCAACAAACAATAAACACGATGAGATAACTAATTCAACAATTATGGTAACGAACAAATTAGCACTTTTTGTGTTAAGCAGACGACGCTGACGAGATATGGGTGCCAATTATATTCAATTATTGTTAAAAGCTTTAGACCTCCTATTTTATTAGATACGCACACAAATACATACACATACTTGCGCAAAATACAATAATGTGTAAAACTTTGCACATTAAAGAACGTTTACCCATTTCAAAGCAACTTCAATATAAACTATAATTTATTGTTTAGAGCCCTATAATGAGAGTATTGGATTACCTACAAAAACTAGCAGATCGAATGGTATTTTGTACTTTGTAACACGCCTAACATGTAGAAGCTACTACATCTTGTTAGTTAAGATTTGATTTTGTTTAGTTCATATGATTATGTTTTGTTGTTTGTAATTTGTATATTTTACTCACCTGGCAATTGATCGGCATTAGCTGAAAATAGTACACATAGACCTGTTTCGTAATTAACGGCATGACATGTTTCATTTCCTTGACAGGCTTCCAAACAATCTGTTAACATTAATGTGCCGGGCAATGAGTCCAGTAGTTTGCCAGGTGCCGAAAAGACATAACTGCAAGAAAACGACCAAAGAAGTTAGAAGAAGATGAGAAGGAAATAAAATAACAAATAAATTATTAATATTCAGTGATAATATTCTGATAAGTATTTTTAGCAGGATAGAGAGAGATTTCCGGGATATAGCAGTAGGTAGGTAACATTGATAAATTATGTTGCGCAACTTGTTGGAGAAATTCTTGAAACGTGTTGATAATCTTAAATCAAAGAAGGAGAATGTTGTTTTTTCTCTTTGCCAAGGCTATAAATAATTTTAGTGGAAAGAAATTATTTTTAGATTGGAAGAATGTATGGTTGATAGTTTGAAATTTTTGATTTGCAAATATTGTTAGTTAGTTTGATTTAGAGGACGTAGGGGAACATCACCACAACATACTTGTAGACAGAATGAACCTATTGTATCCCTATTAAGGTAATAATCCTTAAATAACTAGGAATGGCCGTAAAAAAAATTGAATCAGGGGCTATGTATGGTCCACCTGAAGGTCTCGGAGTTTTTATAGTTGTTTGCAGACAACGATCCATCTCCGTAGGAGAATAATTGTTTACTTAGCTGGATGCTTTGTAGAATCCATAAAACCTACATGAAGTGCAAATGATTAATTGTATCCCTATTAAGGCAAAAAATCCTCAAAATAATTAAGAATGTCCGTAAAATTAAATCGAATGAGGGAGTATTTGTGGGGACAATTAATGCAAGCTGAGGGCCAGTGAGTCCATAGATGATCTAAAGACCAGGGAGTCTTTAAAGCGAGCTAAAGTTGTGGGACTCTTTATATGCGAGGTGAATGTCAGGAAGTCTTTATAGAGGAGTTGGAAGTCGGGTAGTATTTTTTGAAAAGGTCAGGGTGTCTTTATGGACGAGGCGAAGGTCAGAGAAAGTATTTATAGACGAGATGAAGGTCAGGAGTCTTCATAGACGAGCTGAAGATCAGGCAGTCTATATAGACTATAGAAAGTCTGAATGGGATTTCCAATGGTGCCTTTCATATGGACCTATCCCTCCCAGATTTTGAACAGTGGAATTCACTGATAAACTGTCATACAAAATTAGAAATTCTTTTTTATTTTCAAAATTTTCGAAATGATTTTTAATTTAATTTAATTTTTCTTAAAGTTCTCCCCATGAGCTTTCTAATGGCACATTCGATATAAATACCTTCCACATTTTGCAGTGTCATTCGTTGACAATTTCCTGAAAATAATTAAATTTTTTTCAAAATTTCTAAAATGAAGTTTTCTGGATATGTATATATATATATATATATTAATTAATCCCCGTGAGATTTTCATATAGACATATCCATACCAGATTTTGCACAGTGGAATTACTTAAATTGCCATAAAAACTGATTTTTTAAAATTTTTTCCATTTAAAATTATTTACAAAAATGTTTTTACCCTCTCATAAATGGAGCGGAATTGTTATATATCGAAATTTGAACCTATATTGAAAATTCTATTCGAATCAATTTTTTAACCAATCATGAGCAGCCACTTCTGCTGGAAAATACATCAGGGAGCATTCAAATATATACAATAATGCGGGTTCTTTGTTTGAGGATCTGCCTTAAATTTTATTGCGAATTGGTTTTTTAACCTCCACGAACCTCGAAAACCCAATTACAGTATGGGTCTAGAACCATAAATATACCGAAAATGGTTTTCAAAATGTCGATAAAGAGGGGTGGACGTATCAGAGGTTTCTTCCAGAGAACCCTATGTTTTAAGTGTGGTACATGAATAACACTCTGCAGTGTAGATAAAACCGGATACTCACTTCTTCCACAAATTAACTCCCCAAAGAATATTGACCATTTGGTGCGGAGGTACCAGAAGAAGTGTATTGATATTGATTTTTGATAATATTCCACTTCAGGATTGTTTCAAATAGTCTTAAGCGGATTTGACCCTAATAGCGGCTGAGTTCTTGAGGGAATAAACCATTGCTATAGTCCTGTCAAGGTATGACCCTGTGTCTTGTTATGTTGAAGGCGTATATGCCATTGCACAATGGTGGTACCTTATCCAATCTGGAATCCTGCTATTTTTTTATATACATTTTACTAAATATTAAATATGTGTGTTCTTTTATTTTATTTAAATTCCTCCCCTTTAAAAATTACACGTCCGGATGGCGCCTCAAAACAAACATTCAAAAACAATATCGTATATTTATTCAAATAACATTTCATCCGAAAATTTTTGATTCCCAATTTCCCCTCTCTTTTGCCAAAGAAAACCATAATTTCATTTCATTGTTACAAATTCGTTTAAAAATTATTGGACCATAATTCCAAAGCAAAGTTGCAATATCCAATTGTCTGACTGTCGGCCTGCCTGCCTACCCACCTACCTGCCTCTTTAATTCTGTATCCTTAAGCCAACAAAATAGCTGTACTCTTTGAAATCGCTTTGTGTCTAATTTGGCCAATAACAAAATAACAGTTACAACTTATTTTTGCACATTTGTTGTGGTCGTTGGTTCGATCGACTGGCTGGCCTCCAAAAAAACTATAACAAATTTTGTGCTAAAATGTCTGGCAGAAATGGCAAATTTGTGTTCTTTTTCGTGGTAGAGAACTGTGTAATTTTGGCGGGGGTTGCTTGCTGCTGCAACATACCACAATTGAAGACCACCAAAATATTTATTTGATTGCAATTTCTTGTTTTTGTTGCTGTTATTATTGTTGTGGCTGATGATTTTTAAATTGCCTCAAACGAAAAGAAATATTATAGAACTGTTACATAAACTCTGCAACAATTGTAGCCAAAAACGAAAGACTTAGGCAACAAACTTGATTTGCTTGCTGTTAACAAAAGTATCCGAAAAGAGGGCACGCGCTCAGTGAACTCCACTTCACTTCAACTTCATCGCAACACTCAGTCGTTGCTTTGTTGTGGAATGAAAAATGCTTTGTAATAGTGCAACAACAACAAAACAAATAAACAATAATAAAAATCAATGCAATTGCATTTGAACTATATTTCACTATGTAACTGCATTTTTCTTCTACTCTACCTTCCTTTCTTCTTGTATTTTATATTTTATTGATGGCAATAAAGTCTGATGATGACAGCCTCCTCAACTACTTCAACAATGACCACCACTCATTGATTATTCCCGTTGTTATTGTTTTAACGTTCTTTTTCCATTTCTACTCCACTATTCGTAGAATATATTTTTGTGAACACAAAACCGCAATCAAATATAACGTTATTCTTATTTCTAATCTTATCTTCAGTGCTTTTCGGGTAGAGAATTCTTAGATTCTTTAAGATGTTCATAGAATCAAGAAAAATTGTTTATTAATATCATTGTGTGGTGCATACAGTACGAATTGGATTTGATGTATAGTAGATACATGTGTTCGGATATGAATTGATGTGAGGGCTATATGAGGGAGTATATCTTAGAAATGTATCTAAAAAATACGTTGTGAGAAACATGTATTAAATAGTGGATTTGATTGAGTTCTTCATTATTTGTATTAAAGGGGCCTACGAGGAGGAGTGGATCGAAAAGCTCCATTTTCGGACCCGGTCTAAGTTTGAGATATAATTTATAAATTTTTCTGGGGAGCGAGTCTTCACCGAAAAATAATTTTTTTATAGGGGAGCTGAATGAACAAAATGGGTGCTGTAATTACTGTTAGCAGAGTTTTATCCCCTACACCAAAAGTATACAAAGCCGATCGGAATATTTATATGAAGGCTATGTCATTATAAATTTCTATCAGGAGAAAACGAAATGTCATTCAGGTCTAGACATGCAATTATTTAGGACATTGACTTTACCGAAATGGGTGTGTAACGATATTTATCAAATAAGAACGTAAAATATCCAATTAGATCCTATTCGGACTCGATCTAGGATTAAGATGGATTTTGTTTGGAAACTGAAGTTAGTCTAGTCGAGGAAAAACAGATTTTTCAGCAAAGTGGGTCCTGTAAAAAATTTGTTCACAGTTGAATATCCTCCACCAATAGGTAGATATACAAACACCGAAAGTCGATTGAAAGCTATGCCACGGTAAATTGCTACCAGGAGAAAACCAAACAACAGAAACTCAGTTTAAACGTTTCGCTAGGAACTGAAACATAACGAAAATTTCACTTGATCTATCTATATATGTAGATAAATGCACTTAGATTCGGGAATGCCGATTCGTAATCTTCAAAATACTGAATCTCAGGCATTTTTGATGGAAAACATTTCAGAAATCTTCGAAATTTGGATAAACACCAAAAATTGAGGGTACTTTATATGAGGTTATACCTAAACGATATTGACCCAATTCCGTTGAAATATGAGGGGGTACCAACAGAAAGACAATCAAATAAACGGACATGAATATACCGACATAGGATTTAATCTTCTTCTTCAAGAGTTGTCTTTGGACCACCTAGTCATTGCGACAGACGGACGATAGAACTAAAACGACAAGAGTTTTTCACAAAATGATTTGGTAACAATTTACATTGGGTATTAATCTGCATTTTATGTGACCTCATAATGGTTAAGCCTAGATGGCGAAACCTTTAGAATTTTCCTTCAAAAATATTATTTTACAACCAACTGAAATTTTTTGAAATTTGATATGGAACGATATTCTGGTTTCTTTTCCCAATATAACTATCAATCTATCTATCTATTAGAAAATAACTAAGAAAATAAATTTCTTATATCCTTGTTTGACTGTAGTTTGAACTTGTTTTTCCGTCCATTACACTTTTATTGATTTTTCCATTTATTTCTTTTCCTTTCATTGCAGGTAAGTAATCAAGATTTATATTGGATTTGCTGATTGTCTACATTCTAATGATTGTGATTTAATATTAGAGGAAATGTAAGGAAATTCTTCATTTTGAAATTTCCTAATGAATTTCTGGTTATGGTGAGTAAAAGTCAGATACATTCTAATAGAATATCCACAAAATATTCTGGAAAGAATTCAACTTATATAGAATTAAATCAAAATTAACTACAAAATCACAAGGCATTCTATTTCTTATAGCTTTTACCAGGTCATGATAGTCCAATTTCTCCAGTTGCGTATATTTAAAATAAATCCTTATAAAGTATGTTAGCCTTGCAAAAAATCCAGATTTGTTCACATACTACAAGATTTTCTAAAATATTGAGTATTTGTGGGGAGGTTGTATCATATATTCCCTTCTATATGACATTTATGTTTTTATCAACATTACGATAATTTTTACAGTAAATAAAATAAAGAATGCCTTAATTGACATTGGGTAATCCATTCGTACAATATGAAATTTTGCGAAGTTTCAAAATTGTTAAACTCTGTGAAGGGTTGAATAGGATGTTATGTGTCAAATTAAATTGACTCTTTGTGGGAAATTCGGATGTTACGACGTTATTAAAAATGTAGTTCAAAAACTATCTTGTCCAAAAGTAATTCCCCTCACTTATACTAGATTTTGTTCTATCCTTAAATCACTTTTTGGTTTAACCAACATCTCCTACTTTTATTTTTGTTGTATCTCCTCCATCTTCTTCGTTATAATGATGCCAAATCCACTCAAAATAAGTCTGCTTGAGCCAGATTTTAATCCTGATTTACTTAACTTCAGAAGGTTTGCCAAATACAGGGTGTACACCTGGAAACTATTGAAGGTTGTATGGAAAAAGGGCTGTTATTGATCCAGTTTTAGGGGGTAGCTCCCATATAACGGTAAATCCCAAATGTCAGTGTTTTGGGGGAAATTGAACACGCTTTAAAATTTTCAAATTGGCTATTACTTGGGGATTCTCTTTGTTCGCATCTTCCAACTAAAAATTATCAAAATGATACCAAGTTTCAGGATGGATCCAATGCCAAATATGCAACGTTTTGTTGTATGATTTGTCATTTTAAAGGTGACTTCTCTCTATTTGCAAAAAAACTCTAGTAGTCGATTTTCACAATCCTCCCTAAATACCAATTTTTTATCATTAAAGAATTTTTGCAACGCAAGAAAAAGATAACAATCGCCGGACCGTATGGCGGATGCATTAAAACTTCACAACCAAGCTCCCGAAGTTTCTGGCGAGTCACTGTAGATGTGTGTGGCCTAGCGTTAACCAGGTGGAACACGACACCTCTCCTGCTATCTTCAAACGGTCCAGTTGTTAACAGTAGAGATTAGAATTTAGCGATTGGCCATATGAAAGCAGCTCATAATAAATAATCTTCCAGTCCCACCAAGTACATAGCAGAAGCTTCCTGGCTGAGCTTCCCTTTGAATCCAGCTTTGTGTAAATGACTTAAACCAGTTTTATTGCCGATTTTTAGCTCCTGGGTGATCATATCTCCGATTTTATCGACATTAATATTTTAACATTGGGTATATACCTTTAGTGGTTAGGGTAGTATATTTCAGGGTTGTCTCTATGTAACACTGCCCCCAATCATTTGATATTTTATTCAGTTTGGGAGCGTATTTCATCAAATTAGTTGTAATGTTATATTTTGTATTCTCTTTGTGCACAAAATTCCCATGCCCAATGTGGGGCACCGTTTAAACCGAAATGTTTCTAATTTTATATTTTGGGTTATCATTGGTTCGCAAATATTCCTACGTCGCAATTATTCCATTTGGGACTCGCATTTTTCGGTGTTGTAAGGATTTTAAACGTGTTTTTCAACCGTCCCGCTTCGTTTTCGGCACATTTAATGTCGTAGCCCAATGTTTCAACATTTTTTTCCTGGCAGCAATTTACCATGGTATATATTTGTACTTCTTTTATTTTTTTTATCAAATTCAAATACATCAGAACTACAATGTTTTCAAAAGTTAAGATATTCCCCATGTAGTGGAGTTTTTAGAAGTTTTCCCACATATTATTACATCTATACTCCTCTAATAAAATATTATTTCATATATACACAAACAGTTCCGATACACGAAATGTTTAGAATTGTGATTGAAACATTGGAAATTTCTCACGATTTTTTTCGTAGCCATTTTAAGTATTGAACATCAATGACTCAATCAGGTTTGAATTGTTCTCTTCTAAGAATTGAAACATCAACCACTTAGAATTGTGATGATTGAGTTGTTGTACTACAACACAACCAAAATTGTGCGATTTAATAGTCTATTCCCACATAATTATTATGTTCACTGTAAATTTGTTGTTTCATTTTTTTAATTATTTCATTTACCCTTCCCTAACCTGCTTAAGTATGTTTTCAGTTTGCGACGTTTAATGGCATCATTAAGCACTTTAATTAAGGAAATATGTATTGTATTATATTTCATATACATATATTTTGTTTTTGCTTTAGGCAGTTGCTATTTGTTTGCTTCCACTTTGTGGTTTCTTTTTACGAAAAAATTAAATCCCATACTTAAGATATTATATCTCCACTTTTTGGTGGCCACAATCAAATCAAAGTGATTAATGAACGGAAATGTTGTCACTATAGACGTTCTAATTACACAATTCATATGTGGTTTATATTACATGAATTGGCAATTTGAAATTAGATATACTGATTGGATAACATAATTCGGTTTTCTGTTCTCTTTTTGGACTTGAATTTGGTGGGAAAATTTACAACAATTAGAAATGAAAAAAAAATTATATTAAAGAAATAAAATATTTGTACCTCTAACATGAGATGGACATTTAAAATACCTAAAAATAATCGGAATTTTTATGTGGAAAAAGAGCCCAATATTTTCTTTCGAAGATTTGCTTTTCAATGATAATTCATAATACTAAATTACAGCCAATTCCGTTGAGTCTTCATAAGAATGTCAACAATAATTTTGAACTTATTAAAACATTGTTGAACTTACCCAGTCACAATTTCAAAGCCCAACATTTCCGAATCACATTCCTCGAAACCATTGACATTACCAACGGCTGCAGCAGCAGCAGGACCCGAACCATATGATGAACCAAATTGTGTTGCACTTTCAATTGTCTCGGCATCTTCAAAACTTGCGGTGGGGATTTCTTTCAATTCTTTTGGCAAATCTTCTCCTTGATTCTTTTCATCAGCATCATCATTCAAAATAGTTTGCTCAGGCAAAGAGGCGGCAGCAGTTTTTGAATTGTTATCCTCCTCGTCATTATTTGCTTCAATCAAACCACCATCTTCATTGTCATCATTCGTTGACAATTGTGTATCAGTTTTTGTATCCGCTTTCGATAACTCAGCGCCCAATGATTGATCATCACTTTTTAAAGGTAATGCCTCAGATTCTAATGTTGCTGCCTTCGTTTCGGACGCGGCATTATTTGTGCTGCTAGTCGATGTAAGGTCTAGTCTTGATCTTCTTGCTGCCTCTGTTAAATGTGGACTTAAAATCAAGGCACAAAGCAATGAAATGTAGACAAAATTTAGTCTCGTCAATGGCGACAACATTGTTGACATGTGTTGTTTATTATTGTTACTGGAATTATGAAATCTAAGTCGCATTATTGTTATATTGTTTGGTGGTTCTATTTTCTGTTCCTTTCCCTTTTTTCGTTATTTTCTTACACAACTTTTAGTTTCTTTGGAATTTCAAATGTTGACAATATTTTGTTTTTAATTTCTGAAAAGAGAATAAACAAAAGTAAAAGATTAGTATTTTGTAATCGCCAGTTTTTGCGAAGTCATATTAAGTAATTGTATATTATTTTTTTTTGTAGCTATGATCTCTTCCTATGTTTATATCTTTGGTTTACATGAAATTTGTTTTTTCGTTTCTTTAAATTTTCTGCTTTAAATTCTTGCTTGTTAATTATAATTTCTCAGTCTTAGAGTTAGTTTTGCTTCTTTACCAATTTACCATGCCTTTTTATTTGGCTCTTCTCATGTTTGTTGTTAATTTTTGTGATTAATGGTTTCATTAACCAGCCTATGGGAATTGTTGCTACCGATCATTTGTAATTTTTTACCTATGTAATTTTTATGTATGGCTTATTGGCGTTCTGTCTAATCTTTAGGGTATCTAATTATTACAGAGTATTAATACCGTATTTTTTAAAGCCAATTGATTTTTTTTTAGAAAATTGTAATGAGGTGTGTTATTCTATTCATCTATTCAGACATAACAATTTATGAACTATTTGTAAATATTTAGGAGAATTGTTAAAAATATTTTTTAAACATATTATTTTCATCTTTTAATTTTTTTGTTTTGTTGTGCTGATTTCCTTAAAAACGTTGCAATAACAATTGAAAAAGAATAGAACAGTTGAAAAAGAATAGTCAATACATTCCTTAAATACAAATTAGTTCAAAGTTTTCAGTATATCACTCCAAAAATCAATTGTGATACACGAGAAGAACACAACATAGAAATGGCAAGAGATAATGCCACCTATAGGAAGATGGCATCACAAAATAAGCAAGGACGCCAACCACTACACAGAAAATTGATTCCAGAAAACGATAGATGGCAGCCCCATCACAGCATATCCATCATCTATTTAGCTGGAATAACCAACACTGATTAAGGGAACCCCCCATTCTCGATTTTAATTTTGCAAGATTTTCAATGGGCTGGTAAATCAATACCATGCTTGTTAAGGTTTGTAACTTTGCACATATATGTTTGAAAATTTAAAAGAGAAGAGAGAATAATTTACAAAAAATTTTGTAACTGTTTTGTTGTTGTTTTTTGTAATTAAAAAGAAGTCCGTAATTTTTTATGGCGGGCATGATAACTCCTCACTGGAACATCGGAATACGAAAATTCCAACGGTTTTAGAAAGAGTACATGTCTGGCTCTCGTATGAACTAGGATTATTGACATCGCTCTAAAATTAACAAAATGGCGGACCTTTAAAAAAATATTTTTGGAAAATCGCCGATTTTTTACCAAAAAACAGAGTTAAAAAATAAGGAAGTTCTTCACCGATTGGCTTTATCCTAGTTCATACAATATCTATACACTCACAGAGAAATGTGTAAAAGTTTGGAATCGATTAGGTTATTAGTTTTTAAGTTATCGTGCCCGAGAAGCCCTTTAGCCATCACCTGATGCTTACACAATAAATCGGCTATATCTTCATGAGTTCTTGAGATTTTCACTTGAAATTTTGTAGGGACATTCTTGAATTAGTGTAGATTCGAATTAAATCAAAAAATTTTGACCCCGAGAATGGGGGAGGGGGGGTCCCCTTAATGCAATAAATACACATGTAATCGAGTAAGACGATGACGAGGACAACATATCCTCGTGCTTTTTCTGAGCGAAGATTTGTAAAGTCTTCGTCAACGATGATCCATACTACCTTAGACCATAATTGTAGTTTGGATATGACATTGAAACGAAAGCCCAATCATCCAGTAGTGCCAAGACCGAAAAAGCTAGTAAATTTCGATAAAATGTGAAGGTTTTAATAACTGTTTTCATGCTCGATTTTTGGTTGGAAAATGCCGAAAAGTGTGCGGTACCTTTATAAGGGCCTATAACAAGTCATAACCCCAGAATTTGACCGGCAGTAACATCGCCCAGGAGCTAAAAAAAGCTCGATGTTTGGATGCATCAAATTTCCATCTGCGAAGCCTTGGCCAAACGGAATGAGGTAGACTTATATCTTAAATGGATGGTGACTGGAAATGAGGAATGGACCACATACGATAACCATGTGCCAAAACCAGAACTAACGGCCAGGAAGGTTGGAAAGTAAATCCAGGGGAAGAACCTACCCTCCCACCACCATGCAACGCCATTTCGCCATTGGCTATGCGGCTTATAAGGCATATTGGTCTATGTGACAAAGATCGTATGTTGACAACTTGTATTCATGTCGCAGTTTATGCGAAGTTGCATCTGCGAATTAAATTCAATTTTATCAATGTTCGAAATTACGAGATTATTAACACTCTTATAATCTATTATTATATTACTGTGTTCAAGCAAAGCAGTATAGTCGGACGAGCCTGACCAAATGCCTCAGCTACCGCCAAACTGTAACGTTCTGCGGTGTATGACCTAGAGTGCGGCAAAATTATTGAAACAGTTAAAATATAAAGACCCCTTTACAAATGTTAATATATCACCCATAACCGACATCCCTCAATAATAAAATTAATATTAGAGTAAATATCAACCATCACTCCGGCTACTATTCTTGATCGTTTTAAACCGCTTAATATGACTGATCATCATAAACTCATTCATAATAATTCTATGGCCTGATTTCATTTCCCTTGTAAAATGACTTGAGGTTTGGCTCGCAGAGCGACCAGAAAACATGACCAAAAAATTTATTGATAATTTCATGTCCATCGACAGAATCGTAGTCAAATGAAAAATGTTGTTGATAGACAATCGGACATACATTGTTGTAACGTTTCAGATCAAGATGTGCCGTTATACCTAAAAGTGGGCTTAGGGCAATATTTCATGGTCCAACTTTTTTGTTTTGTCCAATTTTTAAACCTATTGTCCAGCTTTATTTGCGAATTACAAGCTGACAACCCTACCTGAAAATATTACCCTTAAATTTATTAATATTAATGAACAATATACAGTCTGTCTCAACAATGTAAACCCTAATGTGGCAACACTGATCTTGAGTATAGCTGGTATGCATTTTTACTTCGCCTTAATTACATTATTATCGCCTTAGTAATAAAGTGCCCTGACCTCCATGAACATACCTAGACGTACACCATCCCAAGCGTTTTTGCTACTTATTTTACATATTCCCATTAATATGCCGGTACTTACTATCAACTAAATGATGCGAACACCAAGAAGAGTAAAAATAACAATACGCATATTTTACACATTTATCTTTTTCTTTTTTGCAACATAATACACCGTTAATGATTATAATTATTATTATAACGAACTGAAACTTCTCTCTCCATTTTAGCTTCGGGTGAACATTTTAAAAAAGCATTTAAAAAATTACTTATTATATTTATTACCAGCACCAGTAACACCACTCACTACTGGCACTTCTGTTTTGCGTGAGCGTTAAAATATTTTCTGTTTTTTTATTTAACCGACCAGGTAGTCATTTTCGCATTGTGAACAACTTAATTTAAAACAATTTTCTAGTAGATTATGACTCTGTCAAAGTCGAAGATGAAGAAGGGGGTCCGCGTCCTACCTTTAGGCTGTTGATAATTGTTTTTCTCTGCGTGTGTGCGAGAGAAAAAACGTCGTCTTAAATGTTTTGCCAAAAGGAAAAATTTTACTCTAGAAATGTTATCTTTTTCGTTCTTTTATTTTTATTTTTTTACACATGGGCAAAGTGTTGTGTTGCAGCCACAGCCATTAGACCCTTTTTGTTGCTGCTTAAGAGGTTGTTAATGTTCATTGGCTTTCAGTTCGATTTGTAACGAAATAACGCACACTTTTCTCCAATACACTTGCAACTGATGGCTGGTGGTAGGGGAAAAATGGCTTTGTTAACAACAAAATTGTTGTCACTGCTGTCATTGTTGCAGTTGTGTTGCGTTGCATTACCTTGCCTTCTCTGTCTCTTTGGGTGTCATGTTACGTTTGTGTGGGCGTTTTCAATTTTTTCTTTGGACTTGTCTGCTGCATTTCGCTTTTTGCGAAAACATAACCATTAAACATGTTAGTTTGTCGCAGACAAGCCATTTATATCGTTGTCGCATAGACTTCTCTATTTCTTCGTTGGCGTACAAAGCCTGCCTTACCCTACCCTTTGTAATTTTTCATTTAGAAGCTTTTCACTTTTCACTCTAGCTTCGCTTTAGTGTAATCATTGTTGCTCCTGGCACAGCTGCTGTCGCTGCTGAGATTGTCATTATAGAAGCTGTGCCATTATATATGTGTTTTTTTTATTTATTTTTAAAATGTCTCTTTTTCCTTTTTTATTTAGTTTTTTTGTCTTCTTCTTCTTAAGAAGTGACTGTCGGCTTACTTAAGATAGTGTTAAGAAAGCACTTTGTTATTATTGCCAACTTGTATGAATGACAGTAGTTACACTCGAGGAAAAATTTTGGCGGACTCCTCTGATGATGTTTAGGAAATAACAATTAAAATTGATAGCCTACCAGACAGTGAAGTTTTACTTCGCCTTTGATTTTTGTGCCAATGGTGCTCATTTTCAAACAAAAACGTACTCGCATTGGCCAACAACTAGCTCTGACCTAGAGTGTTGTAACCGACATTGCCTTTTTGACTTATAGCTATGACATAGAATCCAAAACTAAATTATCCCAACTGACCGGAAAAAAAAAACTTTAAAAATCCTTGCTATATTAAAATCATTTAAAAATCAATGTTAGAAAAAAATCCGGTGAAAAAATCAAACTTAAATATTAGGTTGGGGAAAAAGAAATCCATTATTTTTTCGGCAGATGGCTGTACTGATAGATTTCTCGTATAGTATCGATCAAACAATTTTAGATTTATGCTCGTTGGAAGGGTGACATTTCGCAGTAAAAAATATTTTGTTATTTTTTGTTTGGCAG